ATTTCTCTTTACAGAGCTCCATGGTCTTCTATGAGAATTGTGGGTTGCAGAATCTATATGAAATGGTGCGATTTTGTCAGGTTCGTATTCTTTTATAGATCTCAATGATTTCCATATTATTTTTTATTGTAAAACGTAAATTATTATTATTATTATTATTATTATTATTATTATTATTATTATTATTATTATTTTAATTTCAGTCTAAAAGAGAATGCAGACGAAGTGCTTTCTTTAGACATTTTGCTGAGCCTCTTCAAGAATGCAATGGTATTTAATATTTATATTTCATCATCTTATTATCATTATTAATTAATTATTAAAATATTTACTCTTGTGGTTTTTTACAAGAGCAGGAATGTGTGATAACTGTGCCTTTTCTTGTGAGGTCAAGGAAATCGATGTGTCAGGTATGCTTAATCTAGTAAACTATATATATATATATATATATATATATATATATATATATATATATATATATATATGCTATTAAGTCAAAAAGAAATAACACCTAAGTCCCAATTTTTTACAAATATGCCCTTATTTATTTCAGGCCATGCAAAAGCTATTGTATCTTTGCTACAAGAAATACAAGAAAAGGATCAGAGAGCAACAATGTTGCAATTGGTTGACAAGTTAAAGGTTAAAAACAAGGAATTAGGTCAGTAATACTCATATTATATCCCCACAATTATTATTATTATTATTATTATTATTATTATTATTATTATTATTATTATTATTATCCATTTTTATAAAACTTTTATACCTTTTAGGGTTTGAGTTGAAGAAGGATGAATTAGAGCAACTTGTGATTCAGCTTATTCTCCACAGGGTATTGGTAAGTATAAATGTATTATGATTATGATATTATCACCTTTAAATAAATTTGATATAACTTTTTTCAAAGAGTAAAGTTTATATGATATTCTTTTGTATGCAGAAAGAAGAATTTTCGCATACAGCTTATGCCACTAATGCTTACGTGGCAATTGGACCACTTGCTAAGCATGTTTTGCATGGTGAGTAATTAGTATTATAAATTTATAATCCAGTCATACTAGATTAAAAAAAAATAAATGATTGAGAATTCTTACACAGGGAAGAAGAGTATCATGCTTGAGGTTAGTAGTGGACAGAGGAGTAGTGGCATTGGAATTGCTAAATCCTCCAAACGTGGGAGAAACTCCGGATTGGAATCAGAGCTTGATAACTTGCGAAAGGAACTTGCTTCCATGGATGGAGGAATATTCCCTCATTCTATTTTGTCTACTCAGCAGATCGGAATGTTATGTTCTCAGAAACCGGAAACAACAGAACAGGTAATCAGGAAAGGAATGGAATCGTTCATTCCATTGTTTGATGGAACGGAATGGAATGGACCATGCTTGAAGGAATGTTAATATGTTATTTTTCATTTTGGTTTTGTCAAATAATAAATATCAAACATAATAATACACTTGTTACTTGCAGTTGGAGAAGATAATTGGGAAGTTGAAGACACAAAAATATGGAGATAAAATCCTTGAAGTAATTGGAAAACATGAACCTAATGAATCACAAGGTCAAGATTCATCGAATGAAGAAGAACAGGAAACAAGTGTAAAGAGAAGTGCAAAGAGGCCAAGAAATAAAAAGGTGGTTGTCATTGAAAGCAGTGGAGATGAAAATTAAAAAAAAAAAAAAAAAAAAAAAATTCCTCGGGTTGATTTCATGATACCTTAAGTAATTGTAGGGTTGAAATATAAGTTATGGAAAGTGTCTATAACGTGATTCATTAAGATGTCCAGGTTATTGATTATTATTTACTATTGATATTGACTAGTTCAAGCAAAAAAATAAATCATTCATATCCTTATAAACTTTAAAAATTACTTCAATGTCCTTATAAACTTGAAAATTACTTGTATATCATTTAAAAATATAAATATTACATCAATATCCAAATCTATATTTTAATTAGGAATATATCAATTTTTTAATAAATTATTTTTATCTAATATTCAAAATTATCAAAATACCCTTCCTAATTAAATCCCAAACTAAATCACAAGGCATATTAGATTACGATATCATATACCTTCTTGATCTCGTATCTTTTCTCCATACCTAAGTAGTTTCGCATCTTCATAACAACAGGTAAACTTCTTTGAATTAATGTTAATCTGATTAGATTAACTTTGCATTTGATCAATTGTGTATCTGTATTGGATTATCTTTGGTTCACAAAACAAAATTTCTTCTCCATCTATTGCTATCGCTGCCTCATTCTTCATAACAGTAGATAATCTTTAAAAAAAGCCTAAGTTGTTTTATAAAAAAAAAAAAAAAACCCTAAAAAACAAATGGAATTCTTCTTTCTTACCCCTCCTATCACATCTTCGTTTTCTTAATCTTTGTGATATTCTTTGAAGTAATTTTAATTTGCATTCGATTAATTATGTATCTGATTGGATTAATTTTGGTTGACAAAACAGATTTTATACTCATTTGATTAATTTTGACTGATGAAATAACACTAAACTTTTCATTTTTTTGAATGGCTAAAATGTATTAAATATAACAACCAGCAGGATGCTAGGAAAGTTACAATACATACAAAACAAAAAGCTACAAAATTAGATGAAAGAAAAGAAATGCCACCAGAAACATGGTGGAAAATACCAAAATAACCTAACATGTAAAGGCTCTTTGAAAAAAAGACTAGAAACAACAACAATATAGGACTCTACTTGTAGTAGTGTTTCCAAAATAACAGTCTACTTATGAGATGGCTTCCAGATGCGCATAGAAATAACACCCTACTTCAAAAGCAACACCCTTTCGTTTCAACTAAGCTTTAACACTATAGTAACAAGATTTTGATGCCTTATGATTTTTGTATACAACTTGATCCATTTACCCAATCCATCATCTTCTCATCATTCAATACATTGCCTGGAAGAAAATTTAACCAATAATTTTGATATTTTGAAACCAAAAAAAAAGACAATCAAAAGTGAAATTGGGTACAAATGCATAACCTTAACAGCACAAGATGTATTCAAAAATTAATCTTTAAATGTTTAACTATTATCAAAAGCATTAGACAGGAATCATCTAATACTTGTTTAAGCTCAAAAATAGTTCCTATGTGTCCCACACCTTGTAAAATGTACATAAAAACAAACTAATAGTGAAGAAGAGGGCTCGTTCGATTGAAAAGATAGACAGGGGTATTTTGGTAAACTAAAGTATAATTTCGAATATTAGATAAATAAGTTATTCAAAAATTGATATAATCCTAATCAAAATATAGATTTGGATATTGATGTAATATTTATATTTTTACAAGGATATACAAGTAATTCTCAAGTTTATAAGGACATTGAAGTAATTTTTTAAGTTTATAAGGATATGAATGTAAAAAATCCCAAAACAAAAAACATATATTGAAAAAAATAAAACCGAATCGGACAGTTTGTTGTTTCCAAAGCCGAAAACCGAAATAATTAATACTTTTGGACTTTTTGGTGGGTGAGTACAATTTTATTATGCATGAGTTTATGGTCAAGAATCAGGAGATGTAATCAAACTTAATATGGCCTCACTTAAAAGTAACCTTACATAAACCATTTATGTGTTTTTTGTTTTTTAAGATATAAAACATTTGTAGTATAAAAACTATATATATGTAAAATAAGAGGTGAATTGAATATCTATAATTTATAAGAAAAAAGATAGTTTGTTTTTTAAAATCTATAGACTACATAAAAAACTATAGTTAAAAAAATTGATTTTTTTAAATGTATTGTAAAACTATGATCACAATATTGATTATGTTATGAAACTTTATTTTATTTATTCATCATACTAGATATTTCATTCTTATTGAACGATTTAATAAATAATATCTCTTTCAAGATATTATAATCATTTTGAATAATATTCAAATTTACCACAAGAAACTACAAAAAAACCTTAGTTTATATACATTTCTATAATATACTAGGTGTAAAGCCCATGTATTACATGAGTTAATTAAAAAAAATTAAATATAAAGATCTAAATATTTAAGAACTTTGGATTTATAAGAAAATAAGAAAAACAATGAATTATTAAAATTGATTTTTTTATCTTTGAAATTTAAATAAATAAACAAAATAAACTAATGAGCTTTAATTTGAGAATTTTGAAATAAGAATGTAAGTCCATTAATGAAATTGATATTCATTTATTACTACATTTATTGTAATTATTACATTAAAGTATTATGTGGAATTTATTAAAATAGAAAAACCCATAAAATGACATGTGTAAAAGAAATTAATTCAAAATAACCACAAAATGACATTTGACAAATTAAATGAGAGTGTGACATGTGGCAAAAAAAAACATTTATTTATTAGAGTAGAAATGCAAAAGTAAAATATCATTTTAGACATTTCCAAGAATGGTGTTGTGCATCTCTTTTAATGTAAGCCCTAATTCCTTATTTCAACTTATCATATTCTTTTTGTTTGATGATTTATATATTTGAAACTTCTTCTTTTTTTTATTAATTATTTAATTTTAATATGATTAAAATTTTTTATTGTTAGAACATAATTCCTTATTTCATTGATATGAATTTCTTTGTTAAAACAAGAACAAATAATTTGAATTCAAATTAAGTTTAGGACAAAAAGAAAAAAGCTATGATATATGGCTTAATAGTTGTAATAATAATTTTTTGTAGTAGTTATCAAGTTTTTATTTTTTATCATCATTATAAATAGATTTTAAGAAATGGATAAGGACACGTATTTTAAAGAAAACATTTGCAGACTTTAGAAATGATTTTCCAAGTCTTTTGGGAAAAGAGGGTGCATAAACATCAAATGTGTGCGTTCTTTTAAAAAACAAATAGTCCTCAAGCAAAACGTCTGTCAGGCTGTATACAAAAGAGGCCAAAAAGAGCTTTTGAGGAGAGAGAAACGACACCGGGTTGACGAGAAGCCGAGAAGAGACAAAATCTCTGCATGCCGAGCACCCGACATGGTGTTTCCGAACTCTACCTCAGCATTCTCCCATGCAACTTCAACCTTAAGTTTTTTTTGACGCAGAAAAACAAAAAAAACATAGAAATTACTTTTATTATATTTACTTTTTATATATAATGTCTCTCGTTAGTTTTGGTTTTAGATCTGTCATTGTTTATGAGTTGATTCGATTTCATAGGCAAGCAAGTTCTTTAATTATTTGCTTTAAAAACTTAAAAAAAGCCATTACTTTGTGTCAATCTGTTTTCGGTTTTTGAATACCTTTTTGATTTGATCAATAATGTGACAAAATTTACATAACAATGGTTGTATGCTAACAAAGTCCATTCAAAGTTCAAACAATTTGCAAAAGTCCATTCAAACGGTTTTCAGAAAACGGGTCGGGTGGGACCCGATTATTCGATACGACACCGGTTCGTTTTGTAAAAACTTATAAAGTGAGGGCTGGGATTTCAGTTATCATCACCACCCATCAGTTCGAAACCCTCGTCCCTTTCTTCTTCTCTTCTTCTATGCAAATACCACTCGCTACCCACAACCACCTCAACCAAGATCAACCACGCCCATGATTTCGACGAGTATTCATTGTTTGCAATAATTATGGCCTTGTTAGGTTTCTCAATTCCATTGAAGAAAAAACCCTAAGGTACGTTCAATTTCTCTGTTTTGCTATGCTCAGATGCATGTGAAGCTTGGTGATTAGGAATTAAATCATCATGCAATCAGAAATGTTGTTTATTGTTGGTAAATTTCAATTCAGACGTGTATTTTTACGTTGCGGGTGCTTTACATAGTAAATCTCTGGATACGTTTCACGTTCCTTTATTTGGGAATTGCGATAATGTTTAATTTTTTCTTCTAAATTTTTGTAGGGTCGTGTTTTGTTGAGGGGAATGAAATCATTTGACAGGAACGTTGAAAATTGTTGTGCGGGAAGTGATTATTGTTTGTTAATTATAAGTATTGATTTATTAGAATGAGTGATGCTGTAACTGCTACAGTTAGTAAGAGATATGGCACAACAATCTTCTCGGCTCCAAAGGCTGCTAACTTTACTGGAGAGTATCCTTTATGTATTATGATCTTGCTTTTGCACGCATACTGCTTGTGTTTTTTAGATGTGTTTCTGTTTCATTTAAAGATGAAATGAATTTTTTGGTGATTTCAGTTAAACTTGTAAAATTTATTTCATAATTGAATTTCCATCAAATAGTCATATGATCTGATGGTTATAAACACTTTCTTTAGGAACATGTCTCATACTTACTGAAATTTAGATGCTCTCATTAGGTAGGTGGATTAGGTTTGATGCATGTATTGCTAAAGGTCTGTAGGTGCACAATATATGATTTTAGTAAAAACATCACCATTAGGTAGTGATAGATGGATTGAGGGTGTTAAAGGATATTGAATTATGGATTTCTTGACCTTTTTAAAGCTGGCTCAACACAAGCTACAAGATTCACTGCAGCTCGCCAGATAGGGGAGATTGCAAAATTACATCCTCAGGACTTGAGCTCTCTGCTACATAAGGTCTATTGTTGCATTGATTCTTCCTTTTTTACCCCTATACTAATGCATCAAGCGTATTACTTATGTGTTCTCTACTTAATTTGGCAACTATTTTGTATGTTTTAGGTCTCTCAGTATCTCCGTAGCAAAAACTGGGATACAAGAGTTGCAGCTGCTCATGCAATTGGAGCAATTGCAGGATGTTTTAAACATTCATCTATGACAGAACTGTATAATCTTGTTGAGGCAAAGATGAAGGAAGCTGGCATAAGTTGTGCCACTGAGGATGAGGTTTTGTGGCCAAAGTCTCATCCCAAAATAAGTGCAAGCACTTCATTTCAGAGGTTGTTCTTTCTCACCCACCTACTTCTTTCTTACACTCATTGATATTTACTTGGATGCCTTTTACTTTTGTCAATCAAACAGCTTCGAGCTCACTAAAGTGCTGGAATTTGGGGCTCTTTTGGCATCTGGAGGACAGGTACTACCTTTTCCTTTATCAAGAATCATTAGCTTAAACTTTATTGTATGCGATCTTGATATAATTTTCTTTTAGGAGTTTGAAGTTGCAAATGATTTCACCAATAACCCAAAAGAAAGATTGGCCAAACAAAAGCAAAATCTAAAACGGCGGTTGGGTATGTCATGACTTTGTTATTATCTTTGGTTGTATTTGCATCTGTACTTATAACTATTTGTTTATAGGAATGGATGTATGTGAGCAATTCATGGATGTAAATGATATGATAAGAGATGAAGATCTTGTAATGCACAAACCGAATTCCATAGGAAGTGGCATAAATCCTCAATTTTACCTACAAAGACCTAATCGTAATGTGCAGCAGTTCGTTGTAGATATGGTACCTGGTTATAGACCAAGGAGGCCAAGTGCACGTGAAAGAAACCTCTTAAAACGCAAAGCCAAAATAAGTTCAAAAGATCAAACAAAAGATGTGTCAGGCACTCAAGAGCTCATTTCACCCAAATCCATTTCTCAAGATTCACCTTCTTCCAATTCGGTAATGATTATCAATCATTTTTTATTAGGTTAAATGCAAAAGTTAAAATCTTTTTATCAATATTGAGTTATGGATGCAGATGTTTCCGGATTCTATTCCTGATGAAGAGAGCTCTGAGCATGAAAAAGATGGTACATGGCCTTTTCATAATATAGTGGAACAACTCATTCTTGATATCTTTGATCCTGGTAAGTTTCTGTTACTGGATCTTTTTTATTATCATTTTGTATCGAGTTATCGTGTCAATATGTAATATTCTCGAATTATTCCCACCAGTTTGGGAGGTGCGACATGGCAGTGTGATGGCTTTAAGGGAAATCTTGACACATCAAGGTGGCTGTGCTGGCGTTCTTACATCAGACAGTTGTGATGACGTGTCACTAACAGAGTCAGAAGATAAGATTAAGAATGGTATCAAGAGAGAACGTGAAATCGATTTGAACATGCAAATCACAACAGAAGAAACTGAGCCAGTTCTCAAGAGGCAGAAGTCTGAAATTGCATCATTTGATCAGATGGATGAATTGGTCTCCACATCCAATGGTGAAATAATTGCAAGCTCTGTTAAGGTTGAGCCTCATACAGAAGTTGCAGAAATGTTGCAGATAACAAATTCTTTTGATAATAAAGATTTAGTGGAAAAGGTAGACATACTGGAAGGCCTTCATGGAAATAATGAGCTGGCAAACTTGATTAAAAGGGCCAGAAATTCATCACTGAAAAACTCAGAACTTCTTCAAGATTGTGGAATTCGTTTCTTGTGTGTGCTGTCACTAGATCGGTATGTATACTATTACTATACCCTTTCCTTGGAGTGTTTCTTCTTCTTTTTGACTTAATGGACTTGGTGGGGACAGAACTTATGTTGTATGAAACATAGATGAAAAATGAAAAGAAAAAATAGTTGCACAGCACATCTATTAACTACTTGTCTTCATATCTACAGTTTTGGAGATTATGTCTCTGATCAGGTTGTTGCTCCAGTACGTGAAACATGTGCACAGGCATTAGGAGCAGTGCTTAAGTACATGCATCCTATGCTAGTTCATCAGACACTGAATGTTCTTTTGAAAATGCAGGTAAATATCATGTTGGACCTTGTTTTTTTCTTTTAAAAAAAGGTTTATTGGTTAATTTTCAATTGATTTTGTTTACTGATTCTTCCAGCGTAGACCAGAGTGGGAAATTCGCCATGGCAGTCTTTTGGGTATTAAATATTTGGTTGCTGTGCGCCAGGTAGGATTTTCGTGGGTCCCGAACATCACATAATAACTGGATCTTTTTTACTTTCTATTGATTATTTGGATGTTTTAACTATCTTAAAACAGGAGATGCTTCCTGATTTGCTGGGGCTTGTCCTTCCTGCTTGTAAAGCAGGACTAGAAGATCCTGATGATGATGTGAGAGCAGTTGCTGCAGATGCTTTAATTCCCACTGCATCTGCCATTGTTTCACTTAGTGGAGAAATGTTGCATCCTATTGTGATGTTACTGTGGGATATTTTGCTTGATTTGGATGATTTAAGCCCCTCCACAAGCAGGTAGTTTTTAACTACTTTCTTCTCGAAATTATCTATTTAAAAAAAAAAAATTCTAAAAAGCATCTTGTATATATTGCAGTGTGATGAATCTACTCGCAGAAATATATTCCCAGGAAGAGATGATTTCTAGAATGTTCTCTGCTTTCAAAATAAAACAAGGATTTGATCTGAATGAGATTGTTCCTGTTGATGATCTTACACGTACTTCAAATTCTCAAGAAAATCCTTACATGCTGTCAACATTAGCTCCAAGATTGTGGCCATTTATGAGACATAGTATCACATCTGTTCGTTATTCAGCCATTCGCACATTAGTAAGCTTCTAACTAAATTCCTTTATCCCTATTTGTAACATAAACATTAACTAAATTAATATATGTACAGGAGCGGCTGCTTGAAGCAGAATACAGAAGGAGTATATCTGAATCTTCTACCTCCTTTTGGCCTTCTTTTATACTGGTTGACACCCTTAGAATTGTCTTCCAAAATCTGCTTCTTGAATCAAATCAGGAAATTTTACAATGCTCAGAAAGGGTCTGGAGGTTGCTTCTCGAGGTGATTAATTTGACAATAACACTTGATTTTCACATTTTTTCTTCACTTATACTCTTTTTACTGCACTTTAACAAGTGGGTATTCAACCATTGATTGATACTAAATAATATACATGTGAATTAACAATTAAAAGATTTGCTAAAAAAGCCTTTTTGAATTGATGGTAGTGTCCAGTGGAAGATTTGGAATCTGCTGCACGCTCATACATGTCATCTTGGATAGAGCTTATAACTACTCCATACGGATCACCATTGGATTCCACAAAAATGTTTTGGCCACTTGCCCTTCCACGTAAAAGTCACTTTAAAGCTGCAGCAAAAATGAGAGCCGTGAAGCTTGAAAATGGTCTTTACACCAATGTAGTCTCAGATTCCACAGAAGGAACTCTTCCTCATGATAGAAATGGAGATTCCTCTGTTAAAATAATCGTAGGTGCAGATAGTGAAATGTCAGTTACAAACACACGAATTGTTACATCAACAGCTTTAGGAATTTTAGCATCCAAGTTGCATGAGGTTTCTGACCAATATGTTTTTGATCCTTTATGGAAAGCCATCACATCTTTATCTGGAGTTCAGCGACAGGTGGCATCTTTGGTTCTGATTTCTTGGTTTAAAGAGATGAAGAATAGAGAAGTTTCCGGAAGCAAGGGACTGACAAATGCAAACTATGATACCTTAAAGAACAGGTTGTTGGAGTTGCTATCGTGCACAGATCCAGCTTTTCCTACAAAAACTTCGCGTCTTCCTTATGCTGAACTTTCTAGAACCTATGATAAAATGCGAAATGAGGCATCTCAGCTTGTTAATGTTCTTGAATCATGTGGCATGATTGACGAGTCTAAGAAAATGGATGTGGATAATTTGACTCCTGATGATGCAATGACATTTATTACAAAACTGCCATTGCCAAGTAGTGATGTTACTGGAGAAGATTCAGTTGGGAGAAATGGTCTTGATGAAGTAGAGTCTATAAAGCAGAGACTTTTGACCACTTCGGGCTACTTAAAATGTGTCCAGGTGTGTTTGACCTAAATTTCTCCTATTTGGGAGTTTTAACTGTTTATATCTTCATATTCTCTTATTAATATATCTATTTTTAAACATTTTTCAGAGCAATTTGCATGTTACTGTATCGGCCTTAGTTGCTGCTGCAGTTGTTTGGATGTCCGAGCTTCCTGCAAAACTTAATCCAATTATATTACCCTTGATGGCCTCAATCAAGAGAGAGCAGGTATCTTTTTTAAGATTTATCTAGGGATTGTATCTTTTTTTCCCCATTAGGTCTTATAATACTTTTGATTGATCCATTGTTTGATTTCATAGGAGGAAGTAATACAAAACATGGCAGCTGAAGCTCTTGCAGAGCTTGTATACCATTGTGTTCTACGTAAGCCGGGTCCCAATGACAAATTAATCAAGAATCTTTGTGGATTAGTATGCATGGATCCTAGTGAGACCCCTCAAGCTGGAGTGTTGACTTCAATGGAGATTGTTGAAGAACAAGATCTCCTTCCTTTTGGAAGTAATTCTAGTTCTACCAAACAAAAACCAAAAGTTCACATGCTTGCTAATGGTGAAGACAGATCAAAAGTTGAGGGATTTATTTGTAGGAGAGGATCAGAATTTGCTTTGAAGCATCTATGCAGTAAATTTGGTGCTTCATTGTTTGAAAAGCTTCCTAAGCTTTGGGATTGTCTTACTGAAGTCTTGAAGCCTACTACCCCTGGAGATGAAATGCATGTTAGTCAAGCCGTTGATTCTGTTAAAGACCCTCAAGTTTTGATAAATAATATCCAGGTAAAAAGTTATTACATATGCTAAAGGGTAACAAGCAAGATCTTACATAAATTATTTTTACTTGATTTAGGTGGTTCGCTCTATTGCTTCAATGGTAGATGAGACATTACGCCCCCAACTAATGACACTCCTCCCATGCATTTTCACCTGTGTCCGCCATTCTCATGTTGCTGTGAGACTATCTGCTTCAAGATGCATCACATCAATGGCAAAGTCAATGACAGTCAACATCATGGGCTCAGTAATCGAAAACATAATCCCAATGTTGGGTGACATGGCATCTGTGAATGCTAGACAAGGAGCAGGGATGCTAATGAGTCTGCTTGTTCAAGGATTAGGCACTGATCTTGTTCCTTATGCAAGGTTGTTAGTTGTCCCTCTTTTAAGGTGTATGAGTGATTGTGATCATTCTGTTAGAAGAAGTGTCACACACAGCTTTGCTGCCCTTGTCCCTCTTTTGCCCCTTGCACGTGGTGTCTCTCCTCCTCCTGGATTGAGTGAATGCTTGTTGTCTAGAAGTAGTGATGATGCTGAGTTCTTGGAGCAACTTGTTGATAACTCACATATTGATGATTATAATGTTCCTACTGAGTTGAAAGTCACCCTGAGAAGGTATCAGCAAGAGGGTATAAACTGGTTAGCCTTTTTAAAGAGGTTTAACCTTCATGGAATTTTATGTGATGATATGGGGCTTGGTAAAACCCTACAAGCATCAGCAATTATGGCATCTGATATTGTGGAACGAAGAACTTCAAATAACAATGAGGACCCTCCATCTTTAATCATTTGCCCATCTACCCTTGTTGGACACTGGGTATATGAGATTGAAAAGTTCATTGATGCCTCTGTTATATCTTCACTCCAATACGTTGGTTCTTCACAAGAACGTGTTGCATTGCGTTCACAGTTTCAAAACTACAATGTCATTGTAACTTCTTATGATGTGATTCGTAAAGATGTTGAGCATTTGAGACACATGTTTTGGAACTATTGTGTTTTGGATGAAGGCCATATAATTAAGAATGCAAAATCGAAAATCACATGTGCTGTCAAACAGCTCAAGGCACAACACAGGCTTATATTAAGTGGAACACCAATTCAGGTTTGTTTATATGCTCATTGAATTGGAGATTTGATTAGTTTAGTTAAGTTATTCTGACTATGGTTTGTTTTATGCAGAATAATGTGTTGGAGTTGTGGTCTCTTTTTGACTTTTTGATGCCCGGATTTCTTGGAACAGAGAGACAGGTATGTTTTTATATCATTTACACTAATATAATCCCTATGTTATGCAATGCAACTGATTATGGGTGTTTTTGTAGTTTCAAGCAACTTATGGGAAACCACTAGCTGCAGCTCGTGATTCTAAATGTTCAGCCAAGGATGCTGAAGCAGGTGTACTTGCCATGGAAGCATTGCACAAACAGGTATTTTTCCTTCATCTGCCAAATGCCAAATGCCAATGCATGACCATGATCATAATCATAATAATAATAATAATTTACATTGTAGGTGATGCCTTTCCTCCTGCGTCGCACGAAAGACCAAGTGTTGACAGATCTACCAGAGAAAATAATTCAAGATAGATACTGTGACTTGAGTCCAGTTCAACTTAAACTTTATGAACAGTTTTCAGGTTCACATGTCAAAAATGAAATTTCCACTATGGTCCAATCAAACGAAACAGAAACAGGGGAAGGTGAAGCTGAAGGAAAAGATGCATCCAAAACATCTTCTCATGTCTTCCAGGTATAACCTGATAATTGTATGTCCATCTCTGTAATCGTCATGAATATATTATCTTATTACAAACAAATACTTTGTTGCAGGCTCTTCAGTTTTTACTGAAACTCTGCAGTCATCCATTGCTTGTGATTGGTGGAAAAATGCAAGACTCACTTCCGCGTATTTTACCTGATCTTTTTGCAACAAGCTCTGATATTAATTCAGAGCTTCGTAAACTGCACCACTCCCCAAAGTTGGTTGCCCTTCAAGAAATCTTGGAGGAGTGTGGGATAGGTGTTGAGGGGTCAACTTCTGAAGGCTCTGTTAGTGTTGGCCAGCACAGAGTCCTCATATTCGCACAGCATAAGGTAGGTATTCATTCACCTTCATCAGCTAGTTAATGTAAGTAATGTAGTCTGTCTAATTTGTTTGATCATATCTTTGTAGGCACTTCTGGACATTATTGAGAAAGACTTGTTTCATGTCCATATGAAAAGGTAAGTAATTAGTAATTACTACTGGTTGTGTGTGTTTGTAAATAATGAGGGATATTGAAAATGTTATATGGGTTACAAACAGTGTTACATATCTGCGGTTGGATGGATCGGTTGAACCAGAAAAACGGTTTGACATTGTTAAATCTTTCAATTCAGACCCTACTATTGATGTTTTGCTTCTTACAACACATGGTAAACTTAACTAACTCATCTTCCATTTTCCCAAGTATTTTTTTTTTTCTTTTTACATATTTGTATTTTATCAATCATTGTTTGTGGTTGGCAGTTGGTGGTCTTGGTTTGAATTTAACCTCAGCTGATACGCTAGTTTTCATGGAGCATGATTGGAATCCAATGCGTGATCATCAGGTATGTAGTGTAGTAATATCTTGCAAGTCAAGTATGAATTTCAAAATTCAAAGGTCTAGTCAACCCAACCATGACATTTATTTTTGTACAGGCAATGGATAGAGCACACAGGTTGGGACAAAGGAAGGTAGTGAATGTGCATCGTCTGATAATGCGAGGGACTTTAGAAGAAAAAGTGATGAGCCTCCAAAAATTCAAAGTCTCTGTCGCCAATGCCGTCATTAATGCAGAAAACGCAAGCCTCAAAACCATGAACACCGATCAATTGCTCGATCTATTCACTCCAGCAGATAATAATAATAATAATAATAATACTAAAAAGGTACCAACATACCATTTCCTTTCCATTTCTAGCCATATGACGGTTTTGTCCCTATCTCAATAAATATATATGTTTTGTTTTTTTTTTTTTTCCTTATTTCCAGGGTGCGTCCACTTCGGAAAACATGGATGGATTGGCAAAGGTGCCAGGTGGCGGAAAAGGCCTAAAAGCAATCCTTGGTGGGCTGGAGGAGCTTTGGGACCAATCACAGTACACGGAAGAATACAATTTGACCCAATTTTTAGCCAAGTTGAATGCCTGATCCTGATGGAACTACTACTATTATTATTAATGATTATTATTCACGATATAAAATCCTTTTCTTTTTGGTTTTTGCAATCAATCTAATATGGCGAAAAGAAAAGCCTGTACAGTTACATTTTTTTGAGGCGGAGCTCATGATTTTGACAACTAGTTATTTTCTTCAGCCCTTTGGCTCTTTATTTTATTTAGTGTTCATTTTTTTTTTTAAATCGTATACAGTGTAAGGTACCACTCACTATATTTGTATCAAATATGAGCTTCCAAGGCCAACAATGTCAATGTTTCTTTCTCTCTCCCTCTCTCTATAACCAATTCATCTTCTTTAGATGTTCGTCAACAAGGAAAAACATGTTATGTTTTTATCATATGCCATGCGTTTCTCTTTTCAACCAATCAGGATGTCTCAAGTTTTTGTTCTTTGAAAAGTTATTTAATTGAATTACAGGTACAATGTAATTTTGGTTTTCAGTTTGAACTACAGTTTTTCCATTTGTATTAAATGCTCTATCTGTTTTCAGTTTCCATTAATTTATACATCAATGTTTCGACTTTCTACCAATCACTCATCCATATACAAAATATATGACAGATTGTTTACTCATACATTATTTGTGGATAAACACATGTTGTAGTGTTATTTACTCATAATATTTTGATAAACTCAAAACCGAGATACTTCGTCTAATATCCAAGAATTTTCTCAGCCACAAAAGCTTGTAGAATGGCATCTTGTCCTTATGAAATCATATATGGCTTAACTCAGAAACAAAATATGGCTTAAGTATCTTAGTTGCATGCAACTCATTCATTAAACTTATTGGGATTGTGTTGTAATATGTTTTTTAGAAGATTCAAAGTTATGGGAAGGGAATGATAAAACAAAGAGCACCTATTTATGGTGAAATTAATCTATGTGTGGTTTCTATTTAACCCATTTTACTCTTCTATGACTACATATGTTAATGCATAAGTTAGTTAGGGTTGAAATGATAGAATAAAGAGAAAAAGACAAATCTCCAAATTCACTAAATATTTTCCAAAGAGAAAACGAAAAATTAAGAAATGACCAATCTAACCACTGAAATCACAGATGAGCCTTAATGGGTTGTGATTCTCTAAAACAAAAGCTAGTTGTGAAGTTAGGGTTAATTTGGGGCCAAATTAATTAATTAAGAACTTAAGGGACCTAATGTGTTAAATCGCCATACTTTGGACTTAAACCCCCTAAACCCCTCTTCTCCTTTATTGGTAACAATTTTGAAAAAAGAAAGAGAAGGACAAAAGATTTGGAGAGAACTGGAGAACTAGATGCTTGTTTGAAGTCAAATCGAAGATTATAAGCTTGTCTCTCAAAGAAACTTAAAGTTAGGTAGGTTATCGACACTTATCTTCTCCGATTCCCTTCTAAACTTTAAGAAAACTTGTTAAATCCAAAAATAAAACATGATTTATGTTTAGGATTGAAGTTTAACTGATAGGTTCATGTTTAGGTTGCAAACCTAGCATCAATGTGTCATTCCTAAACTTCATAACCAATTTAGATGTTTTTGGGAATTTTCAAGCCACAAATTATGTAGAATCAACTTGATCTACTGGATTATCATATTGATTGCTAATTTACACTTTGAATCAATGTGTCATTCCTTATCTCCATACTCATTTATAGATTTTTTTGGGGGATTTTCAAACCCTAGATCATGTGGAATCAACATGATCTATTGGATTATCAGATTATATGATTGATTGCTAATTTACGCGTTGATTAATGCTTTTTATTAATTAATTAATTTATTGATTGAATTTATAACATGAGATCGATGCGATAGAGTTTAGATCCCTTAATATATAATGCAAAATATGAAAAAAAAAACATAATTAAAGCAACCAAGTAAACAATAAAAGTAGGTAAAACATAAAAGAGATAAAAAAAGATGATTGTATCAAACTTGGAGAATACTTATTTTTGAGCTAGACTCAAAAATACCTAGCGCATAGTTTTGAGCTAGATGAAATGATTTATATTCTATTTGCTTGGCAAATGAATCCATCATTTATGTCATATTATGCACAATACTAACTATATGATTATGCTATGAACATATCATGAGATGTCAATTGAATACATGGGTAAGTCACTGGATGACTATGAGAACATTCTAAGAGTACTTAAGAAGAACTAAGAAAATGTATATGAGATAATCAGTTTATAAGAAGATCTATATGTAAAGAGTTACATAAGATGCTAACTTCCTGACAAATTTATATAATTATGAATTATAATTAGATTATGACTTCATTATGGAATGAAGTGTACGTTTTGTTGGAATGAGGTCCAAACAAAACATAATAGCACGATCTACTAAATAAGAATACACTACTACTTTAGAGGTTAAAATCAAATGTGATTGGGTGAATGAGTTCATTAAAAAAACTATGTTGATTTCTGCTATTCAAGGATCACATAGAAATATTTGTGACTTTGAGAATATACTTAATCAAGCTAATAAACTATATGTCACATAGAGCACCAATCATATTGTGACATCCCCAAATTCACGGTCATTTTAAAATTTTTATTTATGTTTATTTTAAAATCAAAAAATTAGAATATCCTTTTTGAAAAATCGTATTGTGGAATTTGTTCCCAGAAAACATGATAATGATATTAGCAAAGCATTTCCGAAGAAATGTATTTTATTTATATTAAAACATTGGAATGTCATCGTCAATATAGAAACATAAGCATAAACATACCTTACATTAATTTACACTAATGATCTACATCTCCTTGAATCCCTCAGCAAAATGTATCTTTAATATCGCTACCTGTGATACAATAAACTGAGTGGGTCAGGTTGGGAAACCTGGTGAGTACATAGGGTTTTCAACCCATAATAATATAGTTAATTTGTTTCTTCACATATTTCATGTCAAACAATGAACTTGATTACCCATCCCCATTTTCTTTATTTATTCTTCCCTAAAGATTTACCCTAAGGGCCATCTCCTACATCGTATTTACCTCTCATCGACTTACATCACATTTCCTTATATGTTTGTTCCTAAGGATCATCGCCTACATCGCATAGACAGTACTGATTCGGGGATTACTCCTACAATATGTGTCCAGTAAGGGTTAGAGTATCATCGCATGAATACGTAGTTACTAAATCGTTTGGACTCGTAATTCATCACCTATAGGTTATGAGCATGCCGGTGTTTCCACATGACTTGTTTAGATTAGTCAGCGGTCGCCATCTATACTCTGGTAGATGACTACATCGCAACATCGCAGGTCAAGGTTATGACATCTCATAATGATCTCTTATCTCGCATCACCTTTTCATCATCGCATATCTATCATCACCTATCTCTCATCACTCATCTACCCATCTTTACCCAATATATTTATAGGTATAAAAATACATATACAATTTGAATCACATAAAACATGTATAAATCGTTCATCTAGCATAGATATCAGGAACACATATAATAAGCACATATAGCATGTATTAATATTAAATACTTCATATCTATGTGTAAGATGAAAAGTAACTATGTACTCACTTGTTAAAGTTACGACTCGAAATTCGGCAGCGCTTTGCTTCTAACAATTGTCTTTTCCTTTGAAGAAACCTAGTATCATTATTATTAATTCTTAGTCTAATATTTATTGCGACTAATTATTAGTCTAGATTCATCATTAACTCAAAGTCTACTTTCATAATCTATCAAGTAAGGAACAACCAGGTAGGATCATATCGGAGGTAGGGTCCGTTTGGTATACGAAATATACTTTTTGGAAATCCCACTTTAAACACCTCACTAAATCACAACCTAGACATCATCCCCGTAAGTAGATCAATCAATATAACGACTTTGAATCACTGATTAATCTTGTTTATAGGTTCATAATAACGATAATGAACTTAAACATAAGTTATACTTAAAGTATGGTAAACATAACTCACTTACAGGGGGGTTTAGCGAGGAACCGGGCTCTGCACGGGCAGAACTGCTGAGCCAAAAGTTCTTCTTCTCGGGGCTTTATGGCGCTCTAGGGCTCGCTACTAACACTTAGGAAGTGCTAGAGAAAAGCCTTGAGGCTTTGGGGGGGAGGGGGGGGGGGTGAGAGAATGGGTTAGAAAGGTGTGAGGAATGGAGTGATTTTCGGCTCTATTTATAAGTTGTCCAGGGGATCTTCACGTCGTGAAATTAACATTCACGCCGTAACCTTGCGTAGGCACCAAGGCTTCACCTGGTGCTGATACGTGGCGCAGGACGCAGATAAAACAATTATTGTTAAAAAATTCATAACTTTCGCATACGAGCTCCGTTTTTGACATTCTTTATATCCACATGTAGGTATTGAAAATATATACAACTTTAGTTTAGACTACGTCGGCTAATTTTGACTTTATTTTTAAAGTTATATTTTAACATGCTTAGACAGTTAAAGTCCGTAAAAAATTCATAACTTTGTCATCCGACGTCCGTTTTTGGATATTCTTATATCGTTGAGATCCTATTAACAAGATCTTCAATTCTAGTTTAGGTTGTGTCGGCTGAAAATCGATCGATCTAAAATTTGATTTCCGGGTTGTGTACTGCTATGCAAAATCTTAGAAAAATTATAACTTCCTCAAATGAAGTCAGATTTGGACGTTCTCTATATGGACGCTCTCGGTTTAACGTATACTACAACTTTTGTTTAGATCTCTAAGGCTTAAAAGTATGTTATCAAAAATTCACTTTTTACGATACGCGGCGTTGTGTCGGTTTAGTCGCAAAACTTCGACGGATAATAACTTCTTCCTTATAAGTCAGATTTCAGCGTTCTTTATATGTACGAAATCCTTGTGACATATATTATAACTTTGGTTAAGATTATTTACCCTAAATCATCTTCTATCAAAAAGTCATTTTAACGCTTATTATCTTTAAATTGACTAGCCCGAATCTGCGGGCGTTACACATATTCTCCAAGATATTTTGACTATACTCAGAGTAAAGTCAAATATGGAGATGATAGTATTCACAGAATTCACACAAATTAAATTTAGTTGGAAATCCATTAAGTCTTACGAATCTCAAATACTAAAAGACTTCAATCAAATATTATTCCTAAACAGCAAAATTATAAATATTCAACAATCTTATAACGGGAAGTTTAGGGTTAGGATCCCTATACTCATTGTTAGGATCCAACACTCCCGGGTCTCTGTAGAAGCTACGTTCATTTATAAAGCCATATGAGTTAGGAT